GCATCACTCTAATACCAAAACCAGGCAAAGACACCACAAAAAAGGAAAATTACAGGCCAATATTCCTGATGAACATAGATGTAAAAATACTCAACAAAATATTAGCAAACTGAATTAAAAAATACATCACAAAGTTCATCCATCATGATCAAGTGCTATTTATCCTAGGGATGCAAGGATAGTACAATATTCAAAAATTCATCAACATCATCCACCACATCAACAAAAAGGACAAAAACTACATGATCATCTCCATAGATGCTGAAATAGCATTTAACAAAATTCAGCATCCATTCATGATAAAAACTCTCAACAAAATGGGTATAGAGGGCAAGTACCTCAACATAATAAAGGCCATATATGATAAACCCACAGCCAACATTATACTGAACAGCGAGAAGCTGAAAGCTTTTCCTCTGAGATCGGGAACAAGACAAGGATGCCCACTCTCCCCACTTCTATTCAACATAGTGCTGGAGGTCCTAGCCATGGCAATCAGACAACACAAAGAAATAAAAGGCATCCAGATTGGTAAGGAAGAAGTTAAACTGTCTCTGTTTGCAGATGACATGATATTGTACATAAAAAACCCTAAAGAATCCACTCCAAAACTACTAGAACTAATATTGGAATTCAGCAAAGTTGCAGAATACAAAATTAATACACAGAAATCTATTGAATTCCTATACACTAATGATGAACTAGGAGAAAGAGAAATCAGGAAAACAATTCCATTCACAATTGCATCAAAAATAATAAAATACCTAGGAATAAACCTAATGAAGGAAGTGAAAGACCTATACCCTGAAAACTACAAGACACTCATGAGAGAAATTAAAGAAGATCCAATAAATGGAAATACATCCTGTGCTGATGGATAGGAAGAATTAATATTGTCAAAATGGCCATCCTGCCTAAAGCAATCTCTAGATTCAATGCAATTCCTATCAAAATACCAACAGCATTCTTCAACAAACTAGAGCAAATAGTTCTAAAATTCATATGGAACCACAAAAGGCCCCAAATAGCTAAAGCAGTCCTGAAAAGGAAGAATAAAGCTGGGGAATTATGTTCCCGACTTCAAGCTCTACTACAAAGCCACAGTAATCAAGACAATTTGGTTCTAGCAGAAGAACAGACCCATAGACCAATGGAACAGACTAGAGAAACCAGATATAAACCCAAGCATCTATGGTCAATTAATATACAATAAAGGAGCCATGGACATACAGTGGGGAAACGACAACCTCTTCAACGACTGGTATTGGCAAAACTGAACAGCTACATTCAAGAGAATGAAACTGGATTATTGTCTAACCCCATACACAAAAGTGAACTCAAAATGGATCAAAGATCTGAATGTAAGTCATGAAACCATAAAACTCTTAGAAGAAAACATAGGAAAAAAAATCTCTTGAATATAAACATAGCAACTTTTTTCTGAATGCATCTCCTCAAGCAAGGAAAACAAAAGCAAAAATGAACACATGGGACTACATCAAGCTAAAAAGCTTCTGTACATCAAAGGACACCATCAGCAGAAAAAAAAGTCATCCTACAGTATGGGAGAGTATATTTGGAAATGACATATCTGACAAGGGGTTAACATCCAAAATATATAAAGAACTCACATGCCTCAACACTCAAAAAGCAAATAACCTGATTAAAAAATGGGTGAAAAATATGAACAGACAGTTCTCCAAAGGAGAAATTCTGATGGCCAACTGGCACATGAAAAGATGGTCCACATAACTAATCATCAGGGAAATGCAAATAAAACCACAGTGAGGTATCACCTCACACCAGTTAGGATCGCCAACATCCAAAAGACAAGCAACAACAAATGCTGGTGAGGTTGTGGAGAAAGGGGAACCCTCCTGCACTACTGGTGGGAGTGTAAATTAGTTCAACCATTGTGGAAAACTATATGGAGGTTCCTCAAAAAACTAAACATAGAAATAATATTTGACCCAGGAATTCCACTCCTAGGAATTTACTCAAAGAAAACAAGATCCCAGATTCAAAAAGACAGATGCACCCCTCTGTTTATCGCAGCACTATTTACAATAGCCAAGAAATGGAAGCAACCTAAGTGTCCATCAGTAGATGAATGGATTAAGAAGAGGTGGTACATATACACAATGGAATATTACTCAGCCATAAGAAAGAAACAAATCCTACCATTTGCAACAACACAGATGGAGCTAGAGGGTATTATGCTCAGTGAAATAAGCCGGGCAGAGAAAGACAAACTCCAAATGGTTTCCCTTATTTGTGGAGTGTAACAATGAAGCAAAACTGAAGGAGCCAAACAGCAGTAGAATCACAGACTCCAAGAAGGGACCAGCGGTTACCCAGGAGGAGGGTGGGGGAGGGAGAAGGGGATTGAGGTACATTATGATTGGCACACATAGGGTCATGGGGAAGATAGTGTAGCTCAGAGAAGAAAAGTAGTGACTCTGGCATCTTCCTACAGTGATGGACAGTGACTGCAATGGGGTGTGGGGGGCAAGCGATAATATTGGTGAATGTAGTAACCACATTGTTTTTCATGTGAAACCTTCATAAGAGTGCATATCAATGACACCTTAATAAAACAAAACAAAACAAAACTGTTCTCATCAATGCGTAAGCACTAAGTCAGCAGAACTGGGCGCCTGCAGCGGCTGTGGGGTCTGCTGACCCTCAGAGGAGCTCCAGACTAGTCGCCATGGGGCTCCAACAGATGAGATGAAGCCTAGTTAACTGGAGCTGCATTCCCATTCAGTACACGTGACCTAGCTTTGTTCAGCTGAATGACCTGCTATTCCAATACTCAGAGTATTGGTGGCTGGTTGAGAGCTTTGATAAAGTGTTCATTTTTTAAAAGGCAATTACAGTGTCTCGACTTCGTGCAGGTAACCGAGTCAGCAGGACGAGGGAAGGAGTTCCACAGTGTCGCACGTGATTGAACAAACTCGTGGTTCTTTCTACAAGGCGAAGGGAAAAAACAGTATGGCAGCCAGTCTTTGAAAAGGCAGGCAAATGATAAGGGTCACTATACATTGATCACCAAAGAGTCACATTTAAATGGTCTTGTACTTTTTGCTTTCAGAAAAGGGAAAATATAATAAAGACCATTTGCACCAAGAGCTGCTCGTAGAAAAGCCAAACGCCTCTGAATGAGATTCATGATTCTTAGTTCTCGCTTTACCATAATGTGGGCATAATTCAACCATGGAATTTTGCCATTTATCTCCAGAGTAAGAAATAGGGCACTAACCACCTCTTTTTTTCAAGGAACAAAGTTCTTAGGAAGCAAAGTTCTTAAGAAACAAAGTTCTTAAGAAGTAAATCTACTGTGGGTCTATTATTTATGGGATAAACCTTAAAGGGACAAAAATTCAATCTGAACACATTTATTGCTTTCATGGTCCTTGGAAAAACATAATCTTATTTTTTCCCTTTTTCTTCTCTGAAGAAGAAATAGTTTTCCTTCCTTTAGCAGCCCACTGAAGCCAGGGGCCTGCAAACCTATGGGCTGAGAGCCCCATGAAGACTTAAACAGATGGGGCCCCGCCGTTCTGGCCTGGATGCTGCTTCCGGAAGTCTTAAGAGGTCTGAATGCTGTACAGATACATGGCTTATGTGGGTGGCAAAGACATACACACAGTATTTCTTACACTCCTCATCAAAGCAAATTTAAAAGTATTTTTTTCCAGGAAGATTTACTATGAAATCCCAAACCAAAAAAAACAGAAAAAAATCAATGAGAAAAACTTCAAATTAATATCCTCTCGGAGACTAAATTGCTATTTACCACAATAATAGCTGATAAAAATAAAACTGACACTCAGCTGGTTTTAAATTAAATATAAAAAGATTGCAGAAAAAATAATTACTTACGATAAAGCCAGGAAATTAGATACTTGAATTCACACATTCAGTAACTATTACACATGCCAAAGACATTTATAGACACATATTAAGACATTTATAAATTCCCCTTCAGTTCAGTTCACATTAGATTTTTTCCATAGCAATGGTGAAGGAAGGGATGGTGAAAAGCCATTTTACCATTTCTGTAGCTTGTGGTGGTCATATCCTGTCCATTCCTGTCTTTGTTCCTGCCTAAAATTTAATTTGATTACATTTATGTTTCCTTTTCACCCTAATGCAAAACGTATGAACAGAGCAATATTGGATGACCTACCGTTATTGGGCTTTATGAGCCTGCTTCCTCTTTGCCTCCGGACATACCAGTGCATCAAAACTTTATAACATCATAATCCCTCCTAACACTGAGATTCTTTATGTTTTTATGTCGGATAGGAAGGCCCAATTCTTGAAGACATTCCCAGCTATCACACCTTCTCCTTGTGTGTATCAATCAGTCTTAGTCCCAGCAGGGAACAGGTGGTTTGCATAAGCCGGCTAATTAAGGAGTTTAACAAAGGGATCATTTATAAAGATGTGACAGGAAACTGGGACACCAACAGGAAACAGAGCAGACGCCTGCCAAGGACAAAACCCCTGGAGCTCACTATCCCTAAGCCAGGAGCAGCGGCAGAAGGGCTCGGAGCCGGGGCAGGGTGGCTGCCCAGAGGGCCACTGGCTGGGACGCGTGGCCTTCGGCGTGGTGATGAAGCCAATCACGGGAGCGACCTGGCAGACAGGCACCCGGACGTCACCTGTCTCTGCTACCCCGCGAAGGGCCCTGACTGGTCACACCCAACCAGAACCCGGAGCCAGGAGAACCACTCATGCTGCCCATGGGGGATCATCCCAGGATACAGGCACGGTAGGAAAGGAATTGAGAACATCCAGAGGGGCAGAATAGGGTGTCCATCATACCCCCCACCCACTTAGGCATATAATTTAGTGAAAATCACCTTTAATTTGGTGATACCATGGTGGGAGTTTTTCATCAGCAGAACTAGAAAGCAATTTGTACACATCTGTACAGATTTGAAGCATCTGTAGGAAAAAGGAACGCATTAAACACAAGATGCTCAGACGTGTTATAAGGTAAGAGAAATATTTATTTAATTTTGCACAAGAACGAGCTTATACTGAACAAATCCAACCAAATAATATCAAGTGCAGTAAAACAAGGAAATAGGGATGACCTTTCCTGTTAGAAAATATTAAGTAACCATGCCTGTGCATTATTTTTATCATTACAATAACTTGTTTCAGATTTCTTTTCAGAGTGTATATTGTATATAACATGTTATAGTTTCTTTGCTTTGCTTCTGAAAATATAATTCATTCACTGCCTTACATTTCATTTTTTGCAGTGAGGAACCTAGCTGATTTGTGAGGATTCTGGTCTAGAGGAAGGTTCTCTGCACCAGTGATGCTAGGGACTTTCAAAGCTCAGGCTTTATAACCAGTGGTCGTGGTGTCATGGTACGTGTTCCACACCTGTTCTTCTACACGGTGATGTCACACATAGTAGGCGCAGAATTCTGGTCTCATTTGTCCCAAGAATTTTCCTTCTGTGATCTTCTCAAGCTTCACGGATTTCATAACTAAAAGTTCACTCAGCTATTAACAAAGCTGCCCTTAGCTGCCCACAAGTCATCCACTTCGTTTAAAGGTTTCTTTTTTTCTTTTTGGTCTTTTTAATGAAAGAGCATTCTTTAAACAGAAATCTCCCAGGAGACAGTTAACTTCACAGTTCCTGAAGGCACTGTGGGTCCACCGAGCAGCAGATGTGGCCGTTCTAGAGAAACAAGAGGAAAGGGAAGCATGTTTAACCTTTGAAGGCTTTGGTAAAAACTCAATGTTTATTGATTGGCACACACAGACCTAACTGCACAGTTAGCTTGTTTTATATGCACCCTGACGTGTACAAGTCTGATGGCTCGGACACTTTTCATGTCTCCACTACTACAGAGCCAATGATGCCCAGTTATTTGTGGCAAATCATAGAAGAGCTTCATTTTTTATCATAGGCTAGTTTGGGTCCCGTGAGTGCATTTTAGAAGGGACCCAGGGCATCGTCGTAGATCACATTTCTTCTTTTACTTATTGAGTCACAAAATATGTAATGAGTATATTAAGCCCTAGATGAATAAAGTGGACACGATCACTACCCTCACAGGGCAGAGCTCACTATGCTTTGGGGAGAAAGCAGTAAGTGCCAAACAGGCATACAAGCAAAACCTATGGCAAGTGCTAGAAGAGCAGCATCCTGACTGGTGTTGGGGTTAGTAAGACTGGTTACTTAGACTGGGTGGCCAGGGTAGACTTCCCTGCAGAAGTGATCTTTAAGCCAAGACCTCCAGACAGCAGGGTGAAAGGTGGGCCCAGAACCCAGGGAACAGAATGAGTAAAGGCTTTAGTGAGAAGAGTTCTGTTTAATTGAAAATCTGAAAAAAGGTCTGGGTGAGAATTTTAAGTTAATTTTAAGTGAAGAAAATAATATAGAGATATAGTAGGAAAAATAGGCAGGGAAAGGCCAGACAGGCATTAGTTTTAATAACAAAACACCAAAATAATATGGTGTATTACAAAAAAAGAAAAAAATTTTATGTCTTTTTCTTTTGATTCTTCACACTCAATTCATGAATAGTAATGTTAATACTGTTAACTACAATCATAGATGATAATAAATAGCCTTCTACTTCTTGAGTGCATGCATGCTCTGTGTCAGACTCTGTCGGGCACTTGCAATACATTATTTAATTTCAACTTCACTTAACCAGTGCAAAGCCAGGCCTTCTTAAGTGCAAGGTAATTGGCCAATAATTTGCAACCTGCTAGTACAAAACAGTCTTCAGAAGACTCTTAACAGAACATAATGTCCATACCATACATCATCCATGATACCCCAAAACCATAAAAACTGTTAGACATGTGAAGGAAATAGGAAAAGATGACTCTTCAGAGAAAAAGTTGTGCATAAAAATGACTCAGAGATAATCCAGAAGATGTAATTAACAGATGAAGACTGGAAAATACCTACTATTAACTATGTTTAAAGATGCAAAAAATGATGGTTGCAATGAATGAAGAAAAGTCTTAGCTGAGATATGAAACTATAGATAGAAATAAATGGAAATTCTGGAATTGAAGTATAATATTTGAAATGAAATATTCATTGGATGGGTTTAATAGCAGATTAGAGATGGCAGAAGAAATAGCAACTTGGAAGACAGAACAATAGAAGTCATCCAATCCTTAAAGAGAGAAAGAAAAATAAAAACATAGGATCATAACATACATGTAACTGGAGTCTCAGAAGAACAGGAGGGAGACAATGTGGGAGATAAAATATCTGAAGAAACTATGGCCAAATTCTTTTCAAATCTGGTGAAAAAATATCAATTTATATATTCAAAAAGCCCAGCAAAACCCAAAAAGAATAAAGACCAGAAAACCATTCCTAAGTGCATCACAGTCAAACTTCTAAAAACCAAAGATAGAGAATTATGAAAAAGACATATTGCATACAGGGGAACAAAAATACAGATGACAGCTGAATCCTCCTTAGAAACAGTGGAGACTAGAAAATAAGAGTATCACCTTTAAAGTGTTGTGAACAAATCTGTCAATCCTAAACTCTACAATTAGTAAAAGTAACCTTAAAAAATAAAGGCATTTTCAGATAAATGTAAGTTGAGGGAATTTGTGACCAGTAGATCTGCAATACGGAAAATGCTAAAGGAAGTTATTTGAGCTGAAGGGAAATGACACAGATGGAGGCTCAAATATGTAAGAATAAATGAGAAGCACCAAAAATGGTAAATATGTGGATAAATATAAATTTGGCAATTTTTCTTCCCTTAATTTCCTTAAAAGATATTTGATTGATTAAGGCAAAAATAATATGGGATTTTAGAATTTATAATGTACATAGTTATAAAACATATGATACTATAGCTCAACGGCTAGGGCATAAAATTGTATTATTCAAAGTATTTACATTTTATTTGAAGTAGTGTCATTTAAAAAATGCTACAATAAATTAGTCATATACAGTGTAACCCTAGACCAACAACTAAAATAATATAGTTATAATTAAAGATCCAAAAGAATAATTAAAACTGAATAATATAAAAATGTTAGTAAACAAAAAGAAGGGAGGAATGGATGAATAAGAGCATGAAAAGTAGATAGGACAAATAGAAAACAAATGACAAAATGGTAGCCCTAAATCCACCATGTCAAAAATTACATTAAATGTAAACAGACTAAACACTTCAATTAAAAGACAGAGATCATCAATGGGATAATTGTGCATTATATATAAAAGCACACTTTAAATATAAAACAACAGATATGTTGAAAGTGGATGGATTAAAATGATATACTCTGTAGCTAAATGAATACCAGACAAAACTGACTTCAAGTCTAAGAACCATTCTAGTGATAAGGAGGGAGATTACATAATAAAATAGTTTACCAGAAAATATAAAAGAGTATCTACTGTGTGATTCCATTTATATGAAATTTAAAAATAGGCAATGATGAAATCTAATTGAGGTTTCCTATGGGAAGTAGATATTGCCTGGAAGGGAACAAGAAAGTACTCACTAGAGTGTTGGAAATGCTCTAAATTTTGATTTATCAAACTCATCAAACTATACACATAACTATGCATTTCACTGTAGTATTACCTTGATAAAAATTAAAGGTTATCCAGTGAAACTTAGTTTGACTACTCGAATAGTAATAATAAGTAATTATAAAAACTAATTTTTGCATAGTAACACAATAAGTTTCATAACATCCTGTGATTTCTAAGTTATATTTATTGTCATAGAAGTCATTCTCACTCTCCCATGATAAACTCTAAGATTCAAGATTAGAAAACAGTTGACTTTTAATTTGCAGTAATATATTTATATATAATATACTTTAATGCTATTTACATTTAATATATTATTTATCATTTACTATATCACAATGTTAATATGTTTATATATACAGTATATGTTCATATAATACATATGTAATTTATATAATATATATTTTTAAATCCCATTACTATCAATAATTTAATATGTCATCATAGAATTCATTTTCATATTCCTTTATTTTCCACCTTCTTGCAAGCAAAGCACATTTGTCAGCATTCATCCTACTCTTAATTTTTCTTGTAGGTATTGTTGGTATTTCAATGGCTGAATAATATAATTATATATGACATACAATTATAATACAATATATTATATCACAGAGAGTTACAATAATGTAACCATTTTTCTACTGTCGGGCATTCTGTTTTTTTCCTTGATTCTTCATGACAAATAATGTTGAGGTGAATACCATCATGCATTAGATTGTTCCATATTTTAGATTATTTCTTTAGGGTGAATTCTCAGGTCTGGGATTAATAGGACAAAGTACTTGGGTGGGAACGGGGAACAGGCAACAAGGGGTGTGTTTGGCTGCTGACATGCATCATTTAGGGTCACTAACAATTCATAAGAATTACAGTTCCAGTACATCTCTGACATTGGAAATTATTGTGAAATATTATTTTTACTGTAGTATGTGAAAATGATGATTCATTGTTAATTTACATTTGCTTCAATTATTTAAAGGCTGAATGATTTCATCTATTTTAATAGCTGTACTTTTTTAAGTGAATTGTTTATCCTTTGCTGATTTATTTTTAGGGAAGTAACTTTCTTATTAATTTTTATGTTTTTAATCTAATAAAGAAGTCAAATCTGCTGAAAATATTTTTCCAGTCTCTAGTTGTGGCTTTTTATTTTGCTAGTTTTGTTTATCTGTAGAAGTTCTAAATTTTCTGTGAGGTATATTTTATCACTTTTCAGTTAGAAAAGGTATCTCCCTTCTAGAATTTTGATAAATATTTGATTACATTTTTTGTTTGATTTATTTTTAATATCTAACACTTTTTCCATGTGAAATTTGTTTTGATATGTGATAGTATATAAGATTACTTTCCTCAAATTGCTGTCTAGTCTCTCCTTTCTACCCCTAATGATTTGAAATTTTAAAATCAAAGTGTTTATTATATTATTGCCCATTTATGGGGTATTTGTTTCTACAGATAGATCTAGCTTTCTCTTCTAAGATGAGTAGAGAAGCCTACTTTCAAAACTTAAAAGTCTGCCATTTCTGTTAGATGAAGGTAGCATTTAGGAATTAGGACTTCATCCTTATAAAACCATTTTATTTTCCATAGATCAATTATTTCAGAACTACATCTAGAAGAAACAGCCCTCTAATTCCTCCTCCCTTCTTGTTTCTTAAACTGATGCACCTCCTTACGTTTGAAGCCGACAGCACGCTTGCCTGGAGGCGCTCTGACCCCTGCCAAGGGTGCGTCTTCTCCATTAGACTTAGGAGAGGCAACCGTAGTAACTCATTTGTGACTCAAGAATTTAACTTCTGAGGGGAGGAAACTATTTTGTAACCTCAGCAAATTAAATTCGAACACATCCTTAAGAAGAGAAGGCAAATCTTACCCCATTCACTGAGCTACCTTCTTCAGAAAGTGATTGGTTTGCAGGTTGTGCAGCCTCGTGGCACGGTGCACCTTTCCCGCAGGGCACCCAGCAGTCTGCCTCTTACCTGTTTTATGACTTGATTAATGTTTACTTACTCCACCAACAACAGCCAACATTTATTGAGCGCTTATTCTGAATTGTATATGAAATATGTAGGAAGCTTTTTGTGTGAATTTCTCACAATTCTTATAGCAACTCTCTCAAGACAGTACTGAGTTATTCCCAGGTTGATGCTGTTGTTATTCGCACTTCTCAGGTGAGCGGACTGAGCCACAGACAGGTGGAGGAGCCCCCCTTGGGGGCACAGAGCCAGTGTGACTGACCGGGCTTTGAATCAAGGCAGGCTGACTCCAGATGCCAGGCTCTTCCGCCTAGACCAGCGCCCTCTGGTGGAGCATTCTGCGCTGGTAGAAATGTCCTCCGCGCTCACCTGAGAGCCATTCGCCAAATGTGGCTCCTGAACAGTTAAATGTGGCAAATGTGATGAGGAACCAAATATAATTTAATGAATTGAAACGACCACATGTGGCTACTGACAACACAGCTCTGGGCAGTAAGCTACTGGGCAATTAATTTCCAGGGATGGCTGTGTCTGCTTTGCTTATGCCCAGCCCCTGGTACCAGCACAGTGCCCCACACAAGTTCTATCTATTGACTCAAGTGAAGAGCGCAGAGGGGGACAGGACGGGGAGGTAATACGTACAAACGCTCTCCGAAGGCACCACATTGTGAGGAATGCTCACCTCTGGTGCAGTATCTTGGTCCATTTGGCACAAATTTTACCTACAATTTTTTAAAAATTATTTTTAAAATAACACAAAATAAATGTAATAGAAGAAGTATTTGGAATAAATTTGGTACGACTGAGCATATTCTTTTTCTTTTTGTAGTTTGATAGTTTGATTTAATTTGATTTGCCTGAATGAGCATATTCTTACAACTCATATTTAAGTAAGAAGGGAAAAGAGAAATGACATCAAACAGTAACTTCTGAGAATCTGCATTTATCCGACAAGAAATGAATTTGATGCCAAAATACACTTGCTGGAATACATTCCTAGCATTCTTTTTCTTTTTGTAGTTTGATAGTTTGATTTAATTTGATTTGCCTGAATGAGCATATTCTTACAACTCATATTTAAGTAAGAAGGGAAAAGAGAAATGACATCAAACAGTAACTTCTGAGAATCTGCATTTATCCGACAAGAAATGAATTTGATGCCAAAATACACTTGCTGGAATACATTCCTAGCATGAACCGAGAAAGCCCTAGTAGTTGTTGATAAGGCTGTGATTGACATGCTCATTCACCTCCTTTCCCAGAGGACACCCTAATGTCTGGCTGCCCACTATGGAATGCATGTTTCTTACTGGAAGTATCTGTCTGAACTACTTCTGTGTGTTTTTCATCCCATCACCTAGTGTATATTTTTGTTGTCACTGAGAACAATATCTAACAGGTAAATTAAGAGTATAAGGGGACTCAACTCTACTTGTAACTAAATGTCAGCAAGTCCCTGTTGGTCATTAATGGCTGAAGTTTCTACATGTGCACTATTAAATATACTTGCAGTGCATGGATATTAAAGCAACATCGTATATACATTATTAGTAAGTTTTATTAGTAATAATGTTCAAATTTACTAATGTTCTTTCATAAAACAGCATTAAACGTTCACTCAAAAGCTTTGCTTGACTGACAAACTGCATTGAAAGAGCTAGAAACTCCGGTCTGAAATAGATGACAATAGTCTCTCAAGGCTTTAAGTATTTAATATTCCTTTGTCCTGTTATATCAAACTACTCTAGTGAGAATTTGCACTAAGTGCATCAGAATTAAATTGCTCTGTTGCAAAATTTCTTTAATGGAAATGCTCACTTAAGAAACCAGAGAGGCCATGGGCACCGAGCTGGGCTGTGCTGGGAAAATGCTGACATCTCGGTGCTGTTAAGCTTCCAGATCATTTAAGTTTCAGTGTTGATTCCAAAACCATGACTAAGAAGCACAATGATCACTAACTCACATGACTGTGGGGACAATACCCAGGCAGAGCGCTGTCGGCTTTGCCACTGGCTATAAGCTCTGCATACTCTTGTCCACAGCGTCTGTATTTTTATTCTCATTGAAATAAAAGGCACAATGCTCTAATTTTCCTATGAGCATAGGAGAAAAATCTTCATAATTATGTTTCTCCAACTGTAGGAAGAAGACATGGTAAACAACAGTTCTTAAATTTTTCAACTCGATGTAACTGGCCACAACAGAACCAAGAAATATGCTCATTTTTGCCATATTGATTTTCAGTTTGGAAAATGTAATATATTTACTTCATCAGTATATCTTACAGACCTCATAAATGGGCCAGATAAACATCAGTAAAATAATACCGTTTTCTATCATGAACAAAGAGACACGAAGTTTGGTGGTGTGGTTTTTTTAAAAGACAGATACTTGAGGGCAGTTCGAGTAGGTTCTTTCTGCCCCAGCGACCCAGTGGGTGCTCGTGCCGACTGCGCACCTTCTTCCCCAGGAACGTGCATCAGAGGTGCCCGTGACGGTCAGGCACGGCACTGGGCTGAGGGCGGGCTCCCGCCGCATCTGAGCAATAGAGGTGAACCCAAGTGCTCCCCGCTGGCCAGGCTCAGCGCCTCGGCACGCGTCCCGGGTGCGGCCGGCCGGGGGCCCCCTACACGCACTTAACGGGCCCCACCTTGCACTGGCAGAGGGTGCACTCGGTGCCGTGCTTGATCCACGAGGCCCCGGTGAAGCGGACCACATTCATCTCGTCCAGGCAGGTCTTGGTGATGTCGTTGCGGATGGCGTCGGCCTGGCACGGGTCGGCCACGCAGCGCCGGCAGCACTGGCCGTCTGGCAGGACGCTGAACTCACACTCGGCCTCCGGACAGGGCAGGGGCCCGCAGTCGGCCTCCCCCTGCTGCAGGGAAACAGACGCACAGGCGCGGGGGAGAAAGGGCGCGGTGGGTACCCGGGGCTCGGGGGATTCGCACGCGGACCCAGGGGCCTTCTCGGCGGGGGCGCTGCTGGGCACTGGGCCTAGGGCGGCTTCAAGGGTTACACGGGAACAACGGGAAACAAAAGCAGAAACTGTGTCCCTTGAAACAAACCTGCGCGTCCCTGTCTTGAGCGTGATGAAGGAAAATCATTTACTAGGGAAAAAGAGGTTTTCATTTCACCTTTTGCCTGTGAGACGCTCCTTTCATTCTTAGGATTTCCTCCCCCTTCTCATTTATTCCCTTCTGCTAAAGAAAGTTTTGCTCATTTATGAGAAAATAAGCTGAAATCTGAAGGGAATCTAACAGGTTATCTTGGTTTATTTATGTTTCTTACTCTAGGAACTTTGGGGAAAATAAAGCAAAAGTGGGAACTGATTTCAGTCGTTTTAATTCCACATGGGAAAACTGAATCAGATCTTTTTTAAAATGTCTTTCCCACCTGTTTCCTATTTTGTTCATGATTCTGAATCTCATGGTCTTGGGGATGGAAGCCGCCTTCAGGCACTTTCCATTGATTTTTGGGTTGAAAGTATAAAAAGGAAGCAACGCAAAAGCACAGCCTTAAAAACACTCTCACACAAGCAGAAAGGGGACGAGCTGTGACTTCAGACACATACACCCATTTTCCTCTTCATTTACACCCATAGAAAGAAACAAGAAGTTTGGTCAAATGAAAAAAAGATTGGTGTTTTCTTTCTCAAGTCTGTATTTAATTTTTTACCCGTTGTTTCCAGTAGGAGTTTCATAAATATAGCATTCAATTCTAATATTCTGATAAGTGTGACATACTGTATCATATTTAAAACAGTGCTCAGCAGAACAGCATCGACAGTAACGATCTTTAGGAGGGAAAAAAAAGGGTAGTTTTGCTTTTGTAAAAAGTTCGGCTTAGAAAAAAATGTTTCTTTTTTTTCCATGAAAACCATCCTTCTGCTCGTAGTTGTGTCTAAGTAAATGTAAACCGGTGGGCCTGGGGTCCTTAGGAGAGGCCTTCCTTTCCTTGAGCCCGGAGGTACACCCCACACGTGCACCATGCCCCCCGAGCAGGCCTCGGGGCGGCAAGGCCAGTGTCTCCCCGGCCGGCACGGAGCGCAGGGCACAGGGAAGGCAGGGCTGCCTCCTGCCCAGGTTCTGGGCCTCACACTCCCCCGGACTCCGACCCCACGCAGCCGAGCTTACCAGGCAGCGGCACTGCCGGCAGTCCTGGACCCAGGTGTCTCCGCTGTTGTACAAGGTCTCCCCATTTTGATGGAGGCACTGACTGCTCAGCCTTGGGTCACATTCAGGGCAGCAGAAAAGATCAACCGTGGGATTCTCACAGTCACATACCATCCGTCGGCACATTACAAACCCGTTCTGTATGAGAAGGGAAAAAAGTGGTCATCCAAGGCCTCTATTCATCAACGTGCTTGCATCACACACGTTTGTGCACGTGTGGGGGCTGCACATCGCTTCACATGCCCACGCACCCACACACACGTACCTCAGATGTTCATGTGCAAGTTGAGATAGTTCACACTATTTACCAACTTACCTGATTTCCTTTGAGGGACCATTTAGTAGCTAACACAGAAATTACCAAAGCTGGAGAACTTCCACACACTGCCTGATGAGGAAAAATTTCTGAGAAATGCCCACAGCGTGATCCTTATGTGTATGTAAATGTGTGTATGTATATGTAAATATGCTTGTTCTTGTTTATTAGCACAGTAACTTGCATACTAATCACATTCTGTTCTGTGTGAGGGCATGTGTGTTTGTATTCATGTTTGGGAGCTAGTCAACTTTTACATGTTAAGTTTATGGAGTATTTTAGACCTTACATTTTTATACAAACTGTTATCAATTTCTTTCATAATAGCTGAGTCCCTGGTACACAGTGTTATTCATTTAACTATAATTAAAGTCTCTATTGTCAGCTGGGTACATAGAACAGAGCATCTCTCTAAAACTGAAATACAGCCCAAACAGATATTTTTCACTCCCAGGCCAGAGCATGTCTGTTCTGGCTTAATTACACTTTCATTCAAATCTGGTATCATGACTATGGAAACATGAACACAGTCAGCAACAAAATTTTATCAACATGTGAATGAACTCATCATGGTATTCCCACACAGTGGGATTCAGCAATAAAAAGGCAGGGGCTACGGACACATGTAGGAATACAAATGAATGTCAAAGATCTAATGCTCAGGGGAAGAAGCCAGACACAAACCAGTATGTATTAGAGGATGCCATTTACACGAGGCTGCAGCAAGTACAAATCTCATCGACAGGGGCTGGAAGCAGTGTTTGCTTGGGGCTGGGGGCCGGGAGGAAGGGCCAGAGGCAACATTCCGGGCAGAGGACAAGGGCCTGCTCCCCTGGGGGCGAGCAAGTGGGTCCATGCTGTTGCTAAAGCTCACTGAGCCGTAGGCCTGAAACACAAGCAAATTACCCTCAATACGAGTGATGACCTTTCGTACTCACACTGACCTGACACGAGCACACAGAGCACCGGTCATTCTCCAGCACCCAGATCTGACCGCTGTGCTTGATTTTCCCACCATGGAGGCAGTCCCCCGTGCAGTTCTTCCCGTGAGGGCACCGGCAGTCGTATCCACCATCCAGGTTAAAGCAAACGGTGTCATTGGCACAGCTGTGCCTGCCCGTCCCGCACTCGTCGATATCTACAGCCAAGAAAAGCCAGCAAGCAACATGCTCAGAACATGCTCAGTGTCACACGACTGCAGTCAGGCTGCTCGTCTCCCACATAAGGGGCTGCACTGGGGATTTATTCCTGTCTTGCTGGCTGCCTTTCCCAAACGCTGATGAGAGCCGGGTTAATGATCTAGGGATTTTGCTGGAAAATACTATCACGCTCGATTGTAAACACCAGATACCCTTGGCTAGATTTTCAACTTTTCTATCTCTGTAAATACCATAGGCTTTAAGAAACACAGTTTATGAAAGTAAGAGAGGACTCAATTCGTCAAACAGAAAGAATTTGGCAGGGAAATTCTAAAAGTGCCCACAATTTTTAATTGGGGAAAATATCGTCAATGTTACAATGGTGCTACAGGAAACCCTTTCTCAGGGGAGAAGAGATCTTTTCTCATGGGACCCCAGAGGCATTTTATTCGATGTCAAGCCCCATTCTCACAGCCATGTCACACACAGGAGAGCTCTTTCCAGTGTCCTGCCAGAGTGCCCGTCCCCTACAGTCTGGGTATTCTCCGTCCTGACACCTGGCCCCTTACCCACAGGTGGGCAGGTGACCATCAGCAGCCACCATGTCTCTCACAAAGAATCTCCTACTTCTCAACTTCTCCATCTCAGATTATCTTCTGTCTCCTGCCTGACTCTGCTGGCCAGCGCCCATTCGTCACCCGGCCTTCCCATCCCAGGGCCACACGGCCTAATGCATTTTCACACAGATGAGAAGCAAGAGTAGCCTGACCCACAGATCAGAGCTTAAGACGAGATGTGACTCACTTGACGTATCCCCAGAATGTACGGGTCACAAGCAGAGTACATTCCAGGAATATTGTGTGAGTGGTAGTGAGCAGGGCTCTTCCCACTTCCTCCTTCCCCTCTGAGTAAAGGTCACAGAAGAAAGAATTAACTCAGAGCAGGACAAGCGGGTCGGGAGAAGACGGAAGGTACAGCTTTTAACCAGGCGAACTGCACGGTGATTGCCTTGAAATGGCAGAATTTAGTAAATGCCTTTCTTAAATAGTTTGATCTCGACATTATTGGAGACACAGACTAGTCAAGATTGCATTTTAGGCATAAATTCTTAAATACTTAAGTTCTCCCATATCATGCATGCCTGAAAATAAACTATGATATATTTCTATTTACCTTGATTTTTATTAATTCCCATCTCAGCAAAGCCACTGGAATTCAGACAATGGCTGCAAAGATTTTTATCACACTCTATGAGCTTTATTGCAGCTTGACCCATCAAGGATGACACTGTTTATGATCACAGACTGAATCAGGAGCGCTGTTAGCCGGCAGGAGGATATATTTCAATTTTTTTTTGAACTACATTAGTTAATATGTATTTCTTTCAGGTAGGAGAAAATTTTCTCTTGGTAATAGAAATTCAATTTTATAAAGTAGCTCTTTATTCGTTCTATTCAGAATAATAAGGTATATTTGATGAGTTGATTTTTCCCATTAAATATTCTTATCATTGAGAATTATACTAAGCAGGAAAAACATGAACCAGAGTTAGTTTCCTGACCACAAATTCAACAAGTGCCTCTTACTACACAACCCTTTAAATATCCACTATAAGGATATTATTCCACTAATGGCAATGGTTGGATTTTTACAATCCAACCTTTGCTTCACATTTAAAATAAAAGCTCTGCAATCAGGTAATGCTTTTTTTCCCTTTAAAGGCAGAGGGTCCTTTAAAGGCAGAGGGTCCTCGCATTTGCTGCAGAAGATGAAGAAGAGCTGTCTAGGCACAAAAGGACATGTGCCCTTAAACAAAGTATATTCACAATGGAAAAAAATTGAGTGAAATCCTTCCTACAACAGCGGTGGGCATGTGCTTGTCACACCGGAGAAATGTGTGGGCAGAAACATCCGAAGGGACAGATCACCGCCTCTCGCGATGCAATGGGATCGGAATTGATCTGAACCCACCTTGCTTTTCTGGGTGTCCACTCTGCACCCATGCCGGGTTTCCTAATGCAGACACTCTTCTCAGATAAACGGTAGAATTTTTGGAATTCATTTTTAAATATAGTTTTATTATGGTATAAAATGTCTAACTATACATAGAGGGTGTATATTCTGCTTTGAAAAACCCACTGTGGTATATAAAAATTCCAACTTTAGAAACACTCCCCCTTGTGAGTGGCTGAAGAAGTCACGTTCCTAAGCCCAGAGGTCGAGGTCAAGTCTCGATTCCCCCCTGGCGGGACCTGGAGCCCACGGCCCGCTCGGTCCTGTGCCCTTCCTTCCTTCCTTCCTGTCACACTGGCAGCTCTTTCTTGGTCTTTCTCCTGCCCACACGCACGTTCTCCAGCTGGGGGACCAACTGTGAATGAGACTTAGCCGAGCAAAGAGTAGGTGACTGCAGTCTGCTTGGGGGTAAGGACGTGTCTGAAGGTGCAGAGTTCAGAGCCACCCAGGTGGGGTGCAGGGACAGAAATGTTGCAATGATTGAATGTCCAGGGGAAGCAGAGGAGGCGGCAAGGCCACCGAAGAGGTCTCTGGGCCCAGGGAAAGGTCATGTGGGAAATCTGAAATTTATCATAAACATGATAAAATGTCATCTTAGGGAATTGCAAAAAAATCAGAAAATCAAATACCCATTTTAGAAAGATTCCTTTTTGACTTCATTTTGGAAAAGGGATTTGAGTGGATTTGAACTTGAAGCCAAGATCAACTGACAGGTTTTCAGTTCCCAGGCTCGTCTTACTAGTGGTGGCTGTGCACCAGATTCTCAGTACTTTTCACATAATGACTCACTTAATCCTCTCAACAACCAGGAAGGGACAATTGTTCTCCTGACTGTGCAGATCGGGAAACTGAGCAGAGAAATGCTGCCTAACTGTCCCAAGGCCACACAGCCAGCGAGCTACAGGGCCCGGATGGAAGCCAGGCAGGCGGGCTGGAGGCCGTGCTCTGGGCGTCATGCTGAGGCCGCAGGGCAGACGATGAAGATGGCATCTTCCAAGATGGAAACAACGAAGATAAAGCAACTTAGTGTTTGTGGGCTTCAAAGATCAGGGGAGGAGGGCTCATGCTGTTTAGACTTCCGGCTCGGCAGGTCTGGCTGGTGCCATTTACAGAAAGAAGAGAAAGATTTCAGATTTCACTGTGGACTGGCAGCGGGGGCAGGAAGAGGGAAGGCCACGCAGCCAGGGTGCACTGGACCGGACTTTCCTCTGGGCTTCAAGCAGAGCTGCCTGGGCAGGAGCTGGGTATATGGGTCTGGGGTTCAGAAAACGTAGCTTTGGGGCAGACGCCCTCATTCCCGTTTCCCCAGGAGTCCTTCAGGCGCGGCTTCGGGCTCCCCGTGAGGCTGGCACGGCCGCCTCCTCTGCTCGCCCTCTTCCCAAGCCCGCACTGCCGATGATCACGTCATACTCGAAGTCCTACAGCAAATGCTAGGCACCCAAGCCCGTCTTGTTCCCAAAATAGGAAACAATTTTCCCTCTTTGTTTCCCTACAGCTCTGAATTTATATTTTTCTCAAGTATTCATCATTTTCAACCCTGTAGTTTTCTCCTCTATTAAGAGACGCGCCACATTCTACCTTGTGTGACTGTTGTGCAGATTTCACCTCCTCTACAGGCTGCGGGCAGTGGCCACACCTTCTGTATATTCAGTAACTACTTGCCAAGTTGAATGAATTCATTTTATTTTTGTCCTTTTTCTTGATTTAGGTTAAGAATTAATTGTGTTTGGTTTGAATATAATATTCAAAAGACACCATTCTATAAACATTTTATTTTTGGTCTTGTAAGTTCAAAAAACCTTGCCAAACTTAAAGATAATCCAGAAATTATAGCAATAGAGGGAAAACTGGACATGAAAACCAGTATTCCTATGTGAAAAAAAATTGGGCTTTATTGTCAGAGAGAAACACATTGGGGGCACAATAGGAATGACGATGTGGACAAGGAAAATAGTCCTGGGTCACATTACCTGAGGCCGCACGTTTACACCTCTGAGGTAAGTGGATGAGCAGAACAGCATGTGACTTGTGTGCATGTCACTCATGGACACACATGCTGTGGCCTGAACTGCAGCCCAACGAGCAGTGAGGCAACGCTGTTACCCAGCTACGGCTTCAAGTGTGACCCTCCCACTTGAGAGTCATCATGAGCCCACCGCTGTGGCTTTGTCCACGTGGAAATGCCTATTTTTAAAGCAACAGAAAACTGGCACCTATGCAGATACAACCAAACTCTTCAAACTGCAAATACTAATATTACAATTCTGCAGATGACTGAAATTACAGTAAATGGACAGTTGTTTAGAAGAAGCACTTCAGTATTTTCTTTATAACATGGGTGGATTCTTCTAAAAGAATCCTTCAGAGCACACTGTCTTCTGGAAGAGAAGTAGATTTTTCCAGTCATCCTCATAACTTCTACTGGAAGATAATAGTAGAATTATCTTTCACAGTGGTGGCTTTTCAAAAGTGAGATCTTTCTGTTTCTGTTTATAGAACTTCCTTGAAAAGCCGTTTTTGCATAGGCATCTCGTGTTGTCCTTTACTTCCCTATCTCCACCTTTATCCTGTGCTGCTTTAATGGTAGATTAATTTTCCTGTTCCTTTCTGAGCACTCATGAATATACTAATAATCTTGTGTCATGTAGAGCTGACCACAACTGTATATGCATTTATTTCTAATATACCACAGATCTATCATTCTGTTTCTACTTCTAACATAGGTTATGTTCCTAACATACTTCTGATTAAATTATTATCTATTATTGATCTATCAATCACCCATTCCAATCTTCTCTCCCTAGACAAACAAATATAACATCCATTATGTTATATGGATGTTATAATGCTGTTCTAGGCACTGGTGGCTGAAAGGCAAACAAGAGCTACGACTTCTGAAGTTTACACCCCCAAGTAGATAACAGGCAACACAGCAAGGAAACAAATTGATATACATTATAATTTCAGAACTTTTATGGAAAAGTGAAACAGTGTAAATAAGTACTGTCAGGGGTGCTATATTTAAACTGAGTCCAGGAGAAGCCATTTTGGGGGAAATCTGAATTAAATGAAAGAAGGAACGTGCAGACATTCCAAACAGAAACGACGGCCCCAGTGCGGTTTATTCGAGAAAGTCAAGGACCCACGTCACATAGGCCCTGGTAAACCAGTGGTGGGGTTTGGATTTCACTCTGAAGAGAGATAGAAAAGGCCCCGGAGTTTGAAAAGAGGGGTAACGTGCTCTGACTTCATATTTGGAAGGATCATTCTGGGTGCTACAGAAAAAAGACTCTGCGGGGGTCAAGAGTGTTAGTAGGCAGCCAGTGTGGACACTGCTGCAGCGGTCCAGACGAAAGACAGCGACAGCCTAGACCAACGTGCCAACCGAGGACACAAGCAGAAGCAGCCAGATTGAGAATATACTTTAAAAACTGAAATGATGGGACTTGCTGATGTACTGGTATGAAAGGTAAAGAAAATAAACAACTCCAAAACGTTGGTCTGGGTGAACGGGCTTGAAGGTCTGTAGGATTTAAAGGGTAAGTCAAGAGTTCTACTTCAGGCATTAAATCTGAGTTGCCCATAAGAAATCCCAGCTGAGATACCCAGCAGGCAGCCGGTCAGGCGAATCTGCCGCTAAAAGGTGCCAACTAGGACTGTATGGACAGCGATTTAAACCGTGCAGCCGGTGGACTGTGAGGCAGATACGGGGAAGAGAGGCTGCCGAGAGCCCTGGGTGCCTGAGGAGGGTCCCCGCGGAGCAGAAGAGGAGGCCTCCCGGGTAAGAGAGCACGAGGGCGGCGCCCTGAAAGCGAGGAGCACAGGGCCGTCCGGAGAGGAAGGAGGCTTTCAAGAGTTCTACTTCAGGCATTAAATCTGAGTTGCCCATAAGAAATCCCAGCTGAGATACCCAGCAGGCAGCCGGTCAGGCGAATCTGCCGCTAAAAGGTGCCAACTAGGACTGTATGGACAGCGATTTAAACCGTGCAGCCGGTGGACTGTGAGGCAGATACGGGGAAGAGAGGCTGCCGAGAGCCCTGGGTGCCTGAGGAGGGTCCCCGCGGAGCAGAAGAGGAGGCCTCCCGGGTAAGAGAGCACGAGGGCGGCGCCCTGAAAGCGAGGAGCACAGGGCCGTCCGGAGAGGAAGGAGGCTCGCGGGGGGGGCTGCCTGAGCTGCCGGGGGGGGCGGGTCTGCGAGGTGGAAACTGCCGGCGACCTTCAAAGCACGGCTGTCAGTGGGCGGGGGGACTAAAACTCCACTCGAAGCAGGAAAGGAGACGTAACAAGTGCGGATAATTCTTCCAAAGAGTTTCGTTCACAAGGCAGCAGAAAAACGGGGGAAATGTTTGGAGGATGAGGTGATGTCAAGAGAAGTCACTTTTGGCCATTTTTGCTTTATTTCTCAAAGTCGGGTGCGCCTCCAGGCTGTGAGCTGATGACAGAGGTGCGGTAGGACAAGAGCATTTATGACATGGAAGAGAAAGGGGGCAGTGCGAGGGCAAACCTCAAGCAGGTGACAGGGGTGACGTGTCAGGTTTAATGGGGGCTTATTTTCTCAGAGGAGGGATGAAGCTTCCTTCTGTGCGGGGGGGCGGGGGGGGGCAGGAGACACCAACACGGACGAGACTACGCCAGTCCGGCTCCGGCCGCAGAAGCGGGGACTCCGTGTCCTCGGTTAAGTAATAAAGCAGGGCCACCAACAGAGCCTGAGGAAGGTGGCGGGTGGGGCTCGAGCGGACGGAGGAGGCAGGAGTGGCTGTACCCAGGGCTGCAGGGCAAGGTGAGCAAAGAAACGGGAGGTGTGCCAGGCGCGCTGGCGGCCCGCAGGAGGGTGACCCTCCCCGTCTAGGGTCCACGCTGTGGGTCCCTCCCCCCGGGGGCGGGCTGCACCGGCCGACTCGCTTCCAACGAACAGAAACCGGGAGAAGGGCAGACCGTCCCCTCTGAGATGAGGTGATGAGCAGGCCGGGGCTGCCTTCGTGGGCACCGCTCTCTCTCGGGTTGCTCACTCGGGGGCTGCCCTGCGGGGGGGCTCACGTGTTAAGGAAGCGAGGCCGGCCATTAGCCCCAGGAGGCACCCAGGAAACAGACTCCCACTCCCCCGGCTCCCACCGCAGGGGGTCTTTACGGGGAGACCAGATTCCTGGCCACAGACTTGACAGCAGCCTCATTGGAAGCCCTGGACCAGGGGCGCCCGGCTGAGCTGCCCACATCTCCCGCCCACAGGAACACCTTTTTGCTGTTCTCAGCTGCTGAGTTTGGGGGCGCCTCGCGGTGCGCCCACAGGTGACTCCTGCAGCCCTCCTGAGATCCGCCGTCACACACCCACCACACAGCGATGCAGCTGGTCACGGGCGCACAGCAGGAGAGGCGGCAGAGGTGCACGCTTTCCGTTCACATCTGATGCGCAGAAAGGGGGTGCACGGACCCCAGGCAAACTGAGACGCGGGTGCCCCTCGGGGAGGGGCGGAAAGGACGGGGGGAGGGGAGATGAAATTACGGTGCAGTTTCAGCTTTCATCTGCACATTTGTCTTATTTGAACATTTAAATGGTTCTGAAATGTTACAATCTTAACAAAAAGTTGTGCCGAAGCGTCCTTCCCCACAGCCTGCGTCAGAGCCCAGGGAGAGCAGGTCACGAGGAGCCGAGCCACCCTGACCTGCCCGGTGCTCCCCACGGGCTGGAGGCGTCCGCTTCGGGGCGGCCACTGGGCCAGGAGCGCCCCCAGACCGCGCCGGGCGCCTGCCACTGCTGGGACGGCAGCACCCCCATTCTGGGTGAAACCCCGGTGGGCGCCCTGCGGAGGCCGAGCCCTGCAGCTGCCTGCGAGCTCACGCACCCGGGAGCCCTGCTCCTGCCCCAGGCGGTTGCACTTCCCCCTGCGTGAGCCACTGGGGTCCGAGGACAGAGGCGTCTTCTCATCCAGGTTCCCTCGGGCTGCCGCCCCCCGAAGGCGCGCACACGGAGGAGCCCAGTCGTCTTCCCCTCCCGCATCCAGCCCCTGACGGCGGATCCTGTCGGTGCGGCGGCCCCCTAGCTGTGCTCTCTGCCCCCTAGCTGTGCTCTCTGCCTCCCCCCCCCGGCTGTGCTCTCTGCCCGCCCCCCCCCGGCTGTGCTCTCTGCCCCCCTGGCTGTGCTCTCTGCCCCCTCTCTGAAATCACGCCCTTAGTGGGATGTAGAGGCGAGCAGAGCTGTTCGTCAATTCACTGAAAATGATTCACAATTAATGGTAACAAATCGAATGTAATCCGATTGGCTTTACCACTCTTACTGGATAGAAACCTTCTTTGAGGCCGGGACCGTGTCTTCCGCACCGACTGTCACATTCACCTCGCCGGACAGGTGCAGCGCCAGCGGCGAGCCGGATCCGTCCGTGTCGTGCGGCCGCCCTTGGCCACGTCGTGGTCCTGTTTTCCCCGCCCCCCACTGCCCCTCGGTCTGCATTCTTCATCTACTTTTTTCTAGGTTTTTTGGGTAAGACTTTTGCATGCTGCCATTTAAAAAAATTATCTGATACTATGAATTTATTCATTCTAAAAACACCATCCAACAGTTGCCAGGTACCCACAGAGAATTGGTTTAGTGCCACCACATTCAGTTATCTAAAAATCAATTAAGTATCATAATTACCTAGCAAATGTTAGATCTTAACATGCTTCTCATCACTGTTGTATAAACACACAGCAAAAAATCACCAGTAACTTAAACACTAGATGAGTGTCAACTATTGACACCTTCCTGTGCATTCCTCAGGGTCTGTAGAAGCTCTTACACCCCGGGTGCCCCTGTACCAACCTTCGCAGGACTCGCCGCTGGGCGCAAACAGCCCGCTGTCGTGGTAGCCGTCTCTGCACTCGCAGTGGTACCAGCCGGGCAGGTTGACGCAGCTGGCACGGCTGTCACACTGGATGAAGCCCTCGGAGCACTCGTCGATGTCTGCGTGGCCGAGAAGACAGAAAGGGGATGTCACATAAGTGTACTTTTCTTTACAAAAAACTAAAATATTCTGCTAAATTGCCTCAGAAATTTTTAGTGCCAGTAAATCCTTAAAGCTGAGGAAACAAGATCGAGGTGGTCTGTGCGGCTGAAGAAGCAGAACAGGGATGTGAGGGTATCGGTCGTAGCAGAACGTCCAGACAGCACTGCTGCCAACCCCACCCGACTGCAGAAAGCGGAGAGAGGCCGTCTGAGCCAGTCCTGCGGCTCGCACGCACGGCCAGCTCTCCTGGGCATGGGGGCGGCCTGGCACGTGGCTTCCCACAGTGGAGGGTGTGCCCGAGCCACCTGTGGGCAGAGCCTCTGGGACACGCGTGTGACCCACCCGAGCCCTCCCCACCCCGTCCCGGTGGCCGGCGACTTGCCGAGGGTCCGGGCTTCTGCGTGAGGATGCTGTGGGAAACATTCTTCTTTACTGGGGACAGAGACATAATCTGAGCAAGACATCAACTTTTTTGCTTTAAGCCTCTGAGATTTTAGGATGTTTTATTACTCTCAGCATAACCTATCCCGGCCGAATACATCATTCATCTCCAACATATTGCAAGAGCCTTCATTCATCGACATGCTTCACACTTTTGAGAATGTATACCAGTTATGTCACTTTATAATGGGTTTCACATATCTTACCTCATTCAACCCTCAACAAAAAAACCCTGCATTGTACATAGCTTATTGAACATATTTTTTAAAGTGAGGCAAAAGGAAATGATGGGATTTAACTAAGGTCACCTAAAGTTCTCGGCTGCCTGACTCAGGTGTGTGCGCCTTCACACAGGCAGACACAGGCTGAAACCGGCCGACTGTCTAAACAGAGAGCTTCCTGAGCCTCACCATTCCCTGCAGCGGGTGACTGCTGTTCCCAAACACTGCGAAGCCCTTCCTCTCTCTGGTCAGGAACGTCCCACCTCATCCAAGCCTCTCCTTCGCCTACAGAGGGAGAGCCATTTCCGGGGCTGTCCTGCGGACTGTCCCCCTCTTCTCAATACCTCCTGGGTCTCTGGGGGCCCTGGGGCTGGCCCAGACTGTGGGAGCAATCTGACGGCAGGGCACGGTGTCGCTGCCAAGCATACCCACATGTGCCCCTTCCCAGCTTGACAGCCCTCTGCCGGGACCGCAGGTGAACTGTCCACGCAGGGGGCCCTGTCCCCTCCACGCCGCCCACGCCTTCCCTACCCCACCGCCTGCCTGTGCGAAGGGAGGCTCCCTGCTCAGTGGAATCTCTCTCTTTCCTATTCTTCTCATTAATCCAAATCCTGGGAAGGACATGTGGCTTTCATTTCCTTTTTACATTTCCTCTTTTTCTATGTTTAATTTAGAAAAGACACATTTTTGAATAAACAAATAAATAAGTTTTTTTAAAGAAAGAGATATAAATCATCATTCATTTACTTCTTGATAAACTCAGAGTTCCTTCACTAAAACAAGGTGCCTACCATTCTCTTATGTTAGGCAGTGACCCCCAAATAAGTAAATTTCACTGTGAAATTTCAACTTTATTTCTGAACTTTGAATAGTTCCTCTCCTGCACAGTTGGTTTCCACCGCCCGTACTGCCTGCTGCCAAAGTAATGGGTAGCGGTCAAGTTAGCTTACCACTTACCACCGACTTCCTGACCACAGCTGAAGGGTATCGCTTCCGTTTCTAGGGCTTCACAGGCCTTATGACCCAGCCTATGTGTATCTCAGGGGTTTCCCTGACTGATAAACATCTAATTATAAACGGAACTAAAATGCTATGCTCATTTCAGCTTTATATGGTCTTCTCTTCTAACCCAGATGATGCAGGAAATTGATTACATCCTTTCTTAAGTGCATGAACAAAAGAAAACAGGCCGGGATTTAAGCTTTACAAGTGAGTCTATTGGAGGAAGGCCACCAGGGTCTGTGCGGAGCAGCGTCTCAAGTTAGAAGCATTTGGTCATTAGTGCTGGTGATCTGGAATTAACTATTAAGGAACAGGGCCTTTGCACTGAAGCAACGTTTGCATCTACATTTAGCCTTTAATTTAGTCCTTTTTCCACCTAGACACAGTTGCAGGGTTACCTCGGACCGCAGGACACAGATACATATTTCCATTTCTACGCATTTTCTCTTCTCACTATTTGGAGTCCCCAGGCACACTCCCGCATTGCCTCATTCCCACGCCTCTTTATTCCCACTATGACAACCTTCCTTGAGCTATAAACATACTCATTAAAGTTTAATAGAAATGCTATGCATTATATTACTTAGTGTTCCGAAGAGGGTATACAGACATAATGTTGGCCATTATCTATTTTCACAGACAATTTGAGTATCATTTTCTTATTTAATTATTACTACTAAGTAGTATTTTACAGGCTGGATATGCAAATATACCCATCACTCATTAATTTACCATCTAATATTTGTTGAATCTCTCTCATGTGCCAAATACTAAGTGGTGGGGAAATAAGGAAGAACAAAACCAGCAGTCATTTCTGCCCTTCCTGGGTTTACTGTCTATATAAACTGTGTTTCATTTTAAGAAAATTCAATTTCTGGAAACCTGGATTCACCATGATATAGGACAGCATCTCCCCAGGTGTGAGTTTCTCACTGCTGGGGTGATACCTGGGTAACAGATAAATATTCAATGGCTGCACAGTTCTATTTCCAAATTATTTCCATTCGTAGCAAGTGATACTAAGAGTATAGCAGTGAAATCATATTTGAACTTAAAACAAGAAAGGGCTCCCAGACACCATGTCAAGTAAATACTGATATAAGCAATATCAGAATAGGACAAAAATTATGAAGATGGTTCATGAATTACCAAAGTTTTGGAAACACAAAAATGCAATATGAGGCAATTCCCATTTCAGAAGGATTTGTGGAGTAGCTCCTTGTACAGCACAATGTCTTAATTCATTTAAAATATGACTCCATTTATAAAATACATGAGTTTACATACATCATGCTTCAAATGATATACTTGCTGCCATTTACCATAGTGAAGAAAAACTGGCTACACACTATATATTTTGCTTTATTCTACACATTCATGTTCCTGCTAATTTGACTTGTTTATGCAAACTTTTGTACTTTGGAAAGTCAGTATAAGATGAAAGTGTGCCTGAATTGCTAAAGTATGTATTTCCCACAAGAAGGTATGGCTTTCACTCATGGCTCTAATTAAAGACAGAGCTCAAACAAACAGCCTCATCCATAAGCTATTTGATGGTGTGTATGTCCTTGGTTACTGAGTAAATGTTCGGGAAGTGAAGAACTGAAATCTGACCACAACTTACAAATAAGTATGTTTTATCTATATATATGTGGAGATTGCTACAACCTATAAATGCATACACTGTGTGCATTTTCAAATAAACACATATTGTGTTTTACACATTGTGCAATAACAGAAAACGGTAAAAAAAAAACTCCAAGAATTTATTTCTTTAGACCAGTTAAAACCAAATTTCACATTACCTAATTGAGTTAGACACACAGAGAGCAGCAATCCGAGGGGAGAAAAATGTTATTACTTTATTCCACATAAGAACTATGAAGTTTGAAGAAATTACTTTCCACACTGAATAAAAGGACTCAAAAAAATTAGCACAGAATGTATACACTCCTATAATTTAGTCTTAAATTTTCACTCTGCAGATACATTATATAGAAAATTAAAAATAAATTTCATGAGGAACTATGATTTCATTATATATTCTGTCTAAGAGAGGAGCTACATCCTAGTTCCTAGGGACAATTACAACTTTCTAGTAGCCATGTTTAGAGCCATCAGCTAGTAATGACATTAAGAAGCTGTCCCAAAGCACAGAGATTCTAAAATCCAAAAGATACTTAGCCATTCAACAACAGTCAGGGAAGGCAGTCAAACTCCAGGGATCAAAACTGACTTAGAGAAAAGAAGTGGAAGGCACTGTTGAGAACAGATTTTCTAGAAAGCACATATGTTTTGAGGCAATCATTAAAAACAAACCAACCAGCAGAAAAACAAGAAAGGAAAATGTATGAATAAAAAGAAAGCTCACATCTGTCAGCGCCTTGCTCTCTGTCTCCCTCAGGCATAGTGACACAGCCTTCTAGTGTCACAGACCAGTGGCTTCCGCTGAAAATGGCTTCTGCCATCAGCATTTAAAGGGTCACTTTAGAAAATGACAAATTATTTCCTCGTAAATTTAAATGTAGTTATACAATGAGATCCTTGAGTGATAACCTCTTTCTCATACAGTGAGTTGTTTCTGTCACAACAACGTAACAAAGAACAATAAAAACGTGTGGATGTCTAGACCCATCCATGCCTCAAATAGGCCCTGGTTATTAGTTTGACCTGTTCCCTTTTGACCTGATTTGTTGCCACTCTATGCAAAAGAAAAGAACCTCCAATTCTTTTTTAAAAATGAGCACGCTAATTCTAACTGGCGAAGTCAAATAATAAGAGTATTGCCTTTCACAATGTCTCTCATTAATAAAAACCTGACATCGTTTCTCATTAATAGCACTTGGACTATTTATATTCACTATCCTGTACACTGGTAGTTAAATTATATTGATAAACAGCAGGCAATTAAACTTTCTCAAAACAATTAATCAACTCTTGATTACCCACATGTGGATTATTTGCTGTCAGATCACCTGCAGCATTTCTTTAAAATCACAAGGTCATTTCCCTCTGTCTTTCTCTGAGCTTCTGGGGAGTCGGCTTTCAACATTTGGAGGGGAGTGCTCAAGGAAGGCAAACTCATGCGTGCATTATATTATTTTTAATAACTATGCTAGATTTAGATATAAGATACTGTCCAGAATTTCATAAAGAGATCAACTTTCTCACATGAACTTTTTGAAACTAAAATATGGTAATGTATGTAAACAAACTTGGAAAATCATAAAATCCTCTTCACAAGTTGGGTGATAACATTGCAGCTTTAGTGGAAACTATTTTCATTACTTTAT